TTTGGGACCTTCCCCTTCAATCATTCCTTCTCTCTCCATCTCTCTCTCTCTCTCTCTCTCTCTCTCTCTCTCTGTCTCTCTGTCTCTCTCTCTCTCTGTGTCTCTCTCCATCTCTCTGTCTCTGTCTCTGTCTCCCTCACACACACACACCCTCTTCCCTTCAATTTCTTCTTATCTGCCAGTTCTTTACCCACTGTCATCTGCTGCCTGAAAATATTTCAGGACTCCTTCACCCTTAAAATAACCTTCACTCGGGCCTATCATTCCTTCAAACTGTCATATTACATTGTTTCTTCCTTTCATTGCCAAACTCAAAAAAAGTCATCTAAGCTTGCTGTTTTCACTTCTTCACCTCCCACTACTCACTTCCCAACCTCTTGCAATCTGGCTTCTGGACCCACCAATCAAATGAAACTTCTCTCTCAAGCTTACCACTGACTTCATAACTTCTGAGTTTGATTTTCTCTGTCTTTCTCCTATTTGACCTCTGTATAGCTTTTTGGATTCAATCAATCCCTCCTTCCAGATACCCTCTCCTCCTTTGGCATCTTTATTTGTTCTTACCAGGTTCTCTTTCTACATACACGACAACTTCTCGGTCTCTCTTACTGGATCTGCTTCTATCCTCCTATACCTTTCACATGGACAGCACTAAAGACTCTGTCCGGGGCCCTTCTTCTCTATGTACTTTCTCTTAGTGATCTCATCTCCCCATTGTTGTTTTCAGATTGTTCCACTATTGCTATCATTCATCAACCTCTCCTCCTTTGAGGTTCACACTATCTAAAAATAGATCCCAGAAGCTAGTATCTACTGACCCCAAGATATTCTTCTTCCCTTTTCAATCCCTGGCTCACAATCTTCCTCTCTACCCCAACTCCTGCACTGATGTTAGGAAATTTAGACGTACATGTTGATGTTCCCTGAAATACTCCAACTGTCTGGTTCCTCAGTCTACCCAATCTTCACAACTTCCTCCTCCAACCTGCCCCAACTGCAGAGAAGGATGGTCCCACCTTGATTCTACCATCACCCACTAGTGTCCATGATCAAGCAAGAACTATGAAATTCCTTGTCCTGATCAGAGTCTCTATCATTCCACCTCTCCCTAAACCTATTCTTCATCTTAGTGAACCAATATCACTCAACTGTATTCTCTACTCTGGAATCCCTTGCTTCTTTGTCCTAACCTTACACCTTAGCAAACTCTGTGCCTTGCTTGCTTTTACCATCTGTCTCCCCTGCTGCTAGTCCCATGATGCTGTATAAAGCTGAAGGGAGTCATGGAACTATTCTGATTGGGTCCATTAGAAATTTATATAATCTAATCTCAACCAGGCGCTCACTGAAGCAAAGCAAACCGTTAACACCTCCTTAATTGATGAGCCTTTCCCTCCCCCCATGTCCTCACCCCCGTCTTTTGAATACTCTCTCCTTTCTGGATTTCTGCAACACTGCTCTCTTTAATTTTTCTTCCTGTCTGACTGCTCCTTCTTGTCTCCTTTGCTGGATCATCACCCGTGTCATAATGACTGACTTCGAGTATATACTAAGACTCTGTCCTGGGCTGCCTCCTTTCCCCTTCTGTCCTCTTTCCTCTTTATATTCTTGCTCTTAGTGAACTCATAGGCCCTTTTGGGTTCAATTACCTCTACACGGATGATCTATAGATCTATATATCCAGGCTCATCTCTCTTCTGTGGTACAGTCCTATATAGCCAATTGGATATTTCGAATTAGATGTAGATATCTCAAACTTAACATGTCCAAAATATTAGTTTTCCCTCAAACCCACCCCTCTTCAAAACTGTCCTATTACTGTCAAGGGCACTACTATTCTTTGAGTCACCCAGGTTTGCAACCTTAGTGTTATCCTTAGTTTCTCACTTTCACCCACCCCACAAATCTAGTTGCTGTATCTCGTCATTTCTGTCTCCACAACATCATCAGTATACAACTCCTTCTCTGTACTCATTGTTGTTCAGTAATGTCTGATTCTTTGTGACCCCATTTGGGATTTTCTTGGCTAAGACACTGGAATGGTTTGCCATTTCCTACTCTAAGCAAACAGGGTTAAGTGACTTGCCCAGGGTCACATAGCTAGTAAGTGTCCGAGGCCAGATTTGAACTCAGAAAGATGAGTCTTCTTGACTCCAGGCCTGGCAATCTGTCCACTTTGCCACCTAGCTGCCTTGTACTCACATTCTAGTTTAAATCCTCATCATGTCCGTCCTAAACTATTGGAGTAGCCTCCTAAGTTATTTCCTTGACTTAAGTTACTCCCATCTCTATGCCTTGGTATTGACTGTCCCCCATGCCTGAAATGCTCTCCCTCCTTATCTCCACCCTTTTGATTCCTAATAATCAAAGCTCAGCTAAGTGACTCCTTTTTCATGAAGCCTTTCCTGGTCGCCATGTTTGCTATCGTCTTCCTCTTCAATGTTAACTTGTATCTGAGTTAAATGTGTTTTGCATATACTTAGATACATGCAAAGTTTTTCCCTTTAGAATGCAAATGCTTTGGAGGCCAGGAGTTTGGCTATTGTTTTTGACTCATGAGCCTAGAACTGTGCCTGTAACATAGTGAGTGTTCAACAACCACTTGCTAGTTTGATTGATCATGGCATAGCCTCTTTCCTATGTAGTCTTCTTCCTTCCTTCTGGTTCACCCCTTCTCCCATGTATCCCCCCACCCAACTTCCAGAATAATCTTCCTACAGTACAAATCAGACCAAATTGCTCCCCTGCTCAAAAATTTTCAGTTCCATTTAGGATAAAAATCAAACTCCTTTGTCCAGCATTTAAAGCCTCCACCCCACTCCCCAATCTGGTTCCAACCTCTTTCCAAATTTATTTCATTTATTCCTTTACTGTAGTCAACCTCATAACTGTTCCTTGGCATTCCATCTCTTAGTACTGGCTGTCCCTCAGGCTTGGAATCTATTTCTCAGATTCTTTACCTTTATTTAAGGCTCAACTCAAACACCATGAAGGTTTTTCCAGTCCCTGTTGTTGTCTCCTCCAGTTGTTGTCCTTAAATTGCATTGGGTTTATTTACCTGTTGTACAGGTACCTCTAAATTGTACATTTTATCTCCCCCCTCCCAATAGAATGTAAGCTCTGGGAGGGCAAGGACTACTTTGTCTTTGTATCAATAGAATTCTAACATAGTGCTTTATACGTAACAGGTACTTTATATATTTTGTTGATTTGAATAAACAAAAAATCCCTTGCCCACAGAAGTTGAGAAAGGTCCCATGGAGCATGTAGGCTCTAGCATAGGATTTAGAAAGAATTAAGGGGGTGAGAGTGGGGATTTAGGTAAGGGGAACAGCATAAGCAAAGCTTTGGAGGTAGGAATAACAATGATTCCTTACATTCTTATAGTGCCTTACTGTGTGGGACAGAGACCACAACTCAAAATCAAGATGAAGACTTAGTTACCTTGAAAACAGAAAGGAGTTTATTGCTTTCTCATGAGAAAGGGTACCACCCCTGGTCGGACGAGTACATACAGAAAGCAAGGCTTAGTATACCCTAATGGGAGTTCCTCCTCCCAAACCCCCTTTCCCTTAACCCATTGGCTAGGCTCCAGGGGGCACAATCTATTCACGGAAATCTTCCCCAGCAACAGAGTATACAAGTTTGCCCGGAGACAAGAAAAGGCAGGAAGTCTTGCAGTTTAGGTTGGGGGAGGGGGGTGTAAGGCTACTCTATTCTTTCTGCTACATGCTTAAAAACAGGGTCTGAGGGTTGACAAGATCAGAAGGGAGTATGTTTCAACAATACAATTAGAAGGTCATCTACAACAGGTGCTTCCAATTTCTCTCCTCCCACTCTTCTTACTCTCTGACTTCTGACCTTATCTCTCTCCAAATGAACAGTTATCTCCTAATTGCTGCCCTTTGTGAGAACTATTAACAAAAACTATTAACCCTTTGAGGAGGCTTCACTTCTGAGAGATCGTCTCTCACACTTATAAATATACATCCATCAGTTTTATTCATTTATTTATTTCATCCTCACAACTCTGTGAGATCTGGTATCATTATTCCCATTTTTCCCATTTTTCAAATAAAGGACTTGAGGTCCTACAGGTCAAGTGACTTTTCTTACGCTTATTTTTTATAGCATCTCAAGATTTATAAGAGTTTTTCTTTACAACAATCCTATAGAGTTACTATAATTACTCCCATTTTGTAGTTGAGGAAAGTGATTTATATGTGGTCACACAATGTTGAAGCCTGCATTAGAACCCAGTTGATTTGGTCCCAAGAGCTGCTGTCTTTCTACCACACCGTGAATCCTCTGTGATCAGGGTATACAAGGGGTGCATTGAGGAAACCACACCCCGTCAGAGTAGAAGGTGTAGGTTGAAGCACTGCTTTGACTTTTAAAGTCCTTCATCACTTGGCCTCTTCTTATCTTTCCTGTCTTCTTATACCTTACTGCCTTCCAGGTACTCTAGGGTCAAGTGATACTAGCCTCCTTGTTGTTCCTTGAACATGGCACTCCATCTCCCAACTGAGCATGTTTATTGGTTGTTCCCCATGCCTAGAATGTTCTACCCCCTCCTCCCATCTTCCCTGTCTTCCTTCAAGTCTCAGCTAGAATCCCAACTTATGACAGAAGCCTTTCCCAGTCCTTAAACCTTAGTTCCTTTTCTCTGAGACTGTCCTCTATTTACCCTGCATATATCCTGTTTGTACATACTTGTTAGCATGCTTTCTCCCCAACTAGTCAGTGAGCTCCTTGAGAACAGGGACTCTTTTCTTCTTTCTTTATATGTACAGAGCTTAGCACAGTACCTGGAGCATAGTAGGCGCTTAATACATGCTTGTTGGCTACTGACTGAATTAGGAAACTCCATCTCTCTCTGGATCACTTGTAATAGCAGCATATATTCTGCTTACATTTTTGGCTAATCAGGAAAACTAAACCAAGCTCCCAGCCCTGCTGCCAGCCTACCTGACCTCTGATGCCTCTTTCTGCTCCAACAGGGTGGGAGAACGTGTACGGCTTTGACATGACCTGCATCCGGGACGTCGCCATGAGAGAACCCCTGGTGGACATTGTCGACCCAAAGCAAGTGGTGACCAATGCCTGTTTAATAAAGGTCTGGTAACTCATAAATGTCCTGATTAGGCTAGAATTGTCTTAAGGATCCAGCTATGGTGTCCTGGAAAGGGAGTTTGGTTCCAAGAGCAAGACCTCAGGGCTGGGCCTTGAGTGGGCTGTCTGGATAGAAAAAGAAAAGAAAAATGTTCAGAGCTCTGTTCTTCAAATGATCCCAGTTTCTTAAATCCTCAAGTTAGCCCCAACTCTATAAATTATAGTGGATAATTCTTGGCCCTTTAGAATTATAAGACCTTAAGATAAAAAAAGAGTTTAGAGATGACCTTGCCCACTCCCTTCACTTTACAATCTCAGAGAACTGAGCCTTAGGGAGTTGAATTGATTTGCCAGGCATCACACAGTAGCAGAGATTGAATTTAATCTTCATCTTTCTGTTTCCAGATCTAGCAGTATAGCCCAATGCTTCAAAAAATTGACCAGTATTAATTTTATGCTGACTTTGTGCCCAGCCTCTCAGGGATAACAGAAGGGTGTGCCATGGTTTGAGTTCCTTGGGTTACAGCTGCTCTAGCGTTGTAATGCTCAATATGTTTCCAGACTCCCTTGCTGTTAATGACTGATGAACCAGGAAGCATTTCTATCAAAGAAGGAGTGAACAGAATTGCTTTCTCCAGTCTGTTAAGAATCATACTCCATGATGGTGTAGTGGGCCTAGGGGCTTCTGAAGGGGGAGGGAGAAGGGAAGGAAAGAAAGTCATGTGGAAGAGGGATTCTACTTGTTCTATTTGGTCTCAGAGGATAGAACTGTGCACAATTGGAGGAAGTTGCAGAGACAGATTGATCGCATTGAAAAACATCCCAGTAATTCCAAGAGTCCAAAAGTGCAGTGTGTGTCCTGGAGAGGGAGGGAGAGGGGTAGTGAGTTCCTCATTCCTGAAGGCAGCTGGTAAATGTTTAATAACTGGCACTCTAGGGGAAAAAAGTAGCCATAATACACTTTTAATTGTAATCTGCATTATTTACATTCTATCTCCCAGTTTCTTAAGTCTAGACAATCAACAAGACAATAAATTGAGCCCTAATGTGTAGTGTTTCTTGATTTCTGAGGTACAGATACTTACAGTGAAAATTTAGCAAATCATTTCTTGAGAGCAATAGAAGATGGCTCCAGCACTCCCCTATCTGGAGGTCTTCAAATAAAGGTTGGATGACAAGATGTTAGGGATATTGCAAAGGGAATTCATGCTTAAGCATTGGTTGGATTACATGATCTTTGAGGATCTGACCAACACTGACATTCTCAGATTCTATTAGAGGGTCAATTGTAGGAATTAAGTTAGGTTTACCAAGGTCTCTCTAAACTAGAACAAAATGAGTCATATTAGAGGCACTTGAAACAACTAAAACCAAAGAGTGCTAAAGATGGCAGGGGGAGGGGGGTGTCAGTATTAGAATTCATCAAGTCCCAGTGAGGAAACTGAGGCCAGGATAGGTAAAATGTCTAAGGTCACAAAGCTACTGTGTAATTAAGCTGTAATCTACCAAGTCTCTTGACTCCCAGACCAGTGGTTTTGCTTACTATACCACACTGCTGCCTACATCTCTGGAGAGTTATACTTATCTTTGAGGACATCTGTCAAGTCACATGTGGATTGTCAATGGATAGACATTACATCAAGTAAAGAGAATATTTTTGCTTCTTGGAGAGGAAAGAGTTCAAAGATTCCCCAAACAGGGGAAAGCTGAAATAGGTTCTGTAATGCCCCTGTCTCTCAATCTAGTCCAAGTAGAGAGGAATTATTATTGTTGCTGTTATTATTTTTGTTAAAAGTCTCCAGGCAGAGAAATCCTATACTTTTCCTTGGTAGACCTCATAGAATCTCAAAGTCAGAGGGACTCCTGGAATCATTTAGTACAACTCATATCTATTTGTTCTTGATAAACTCCTATCAGTTTATAGTGATCACTTCCTTTTTAAGATATTTAAAAATTATTATTTAAATTATAACTTAATCAGTTCTAAAATTTATTCTAACTCTAGAATTTTGATAGGAAATAAATATTTCTTATTCTCATCTTCATATCTATGCTAAATAACTCTTGGCATAAATAAAGCCTATTTTCTCTGGTTCAGGCCTCTCTGGAAGTAGAGAAGAGCTGGTCAGCATCCGCCTGAAACCAATACTTCTAATCCTTCTTATTACTGAACTACAGATGTTACATCCTAATATCTTGTAGATCTCCCATTTCCTTATTAAAACAGAACAAATGAACAAACAGGAGAATTTGAAGACTTCTCAGAGATACTTGAGATAAAAAAAACCAAAAACCAAAAATGGTGATAGGGCCTCCTCTGGCCTTAAGGATGAGTGGTCAATGTCTTAGAAATGCACTGCTCAGATGACTTAGTTATTTCTTTCTCAGATTAGTGGGAACTAGTATTTTCTTTGGATTAAAGCCAGTGTCAAAGGAATCATGGTGCAGTGGAGGGCTAGCTGACCTGAGAGTCATGAAGGCTCAAACACCATTGCTGACTTACCCTAGCTTTGTGACCCTCGACCAGTCACTTAATTTCTCAGTGCCTCAAATAATTCTCTAAGACAAGGGCTCTTTAAATTTTTCTTAATATAGTGGTAACCATATTTCAACGTATTTCATTTTTTTTGTAATCTTCTGTATCTAATTGTTTAAAAGCATTATTCATAGGCTTTACTGGATTGCCAAAGGGGTCTATGATGCCCTCCAAAAGTTAAAAGCCCACAATTTAAGATCATTAGTTACAGGTCTGTATTGGTAGAGGAAAGAGGAATCTTTCTCACTGGATATTCTCTACAATAATGAAATCACAGGTTTGCTTCAGTAAGAGGAGGGGAGTTAAAAAAAAAAGGCTATGTTTCAGAAAAAAAAAAACCCTCCCATAATGCAAATCATTTAGATTGATACTAACAACTCCCACTTATATAGCACTTCATACACATGATTACATTTGAGCTATACAACAACTCTGTGAGGTAAGTAGTACAAATATCATTATCACAATTTTACAGGTGAGGAAATCTAGGTTTAGGTGAATGAATTACCTAAATGAGAGTAAGTGATAGAACTGAGACCCAAATGCGGAACTTTTATATTTAAGTCTTACGTTCTTTTACTAAATAATGCTAGCTTTCACAATATGGAACTTCCCTACTTAGGTGTTCTCTCCACCAGTGCAGGCCCAATGCCTGCCTTTCCTTCACGGATGCATGTCTTGAGTTTCAGAGGCTTTCAAAATGAATCACTTGGTAGCCAGTCCTCTGGTGGTGGGCCTCTTCAATCGTAGCAAGGCTGGTCCTTAGTCATTAGCACCCAATCCATCCTTGGGACTGTATTCAAAACCTGGCAGAACCTTCTAGGGCTTGAATTCCATTGGCACCATCTTGGAAAAACTTGGCTCTCTTCCAAACTGTGATAAGGCTCCTCTATTTAAACAGGTAAACAATGAAGTCAGTGCAAAGAACACTGGATTGGGATCAGAAGAGATGAGTTTTGATTCTGGCTTTGCCATTTCCTACCTGACTTTGGGCATTCATTTATGAAGTGAGGGAAGGTCCATTCTAGCTCAAGTCTATTCTATCATCTATATAAAAACAAAACTAAATATAAATCAATGAACAAAAATGTATATGTCATAGTTAAAAATTTTAAACAATGACAAAACCAATAGCTTTTGTCACTCAACAAAGGAATAAAAAGACACCAACAGATTACCAAGACTCTCTATGATATTTCTGGTGGCTCAGCAGCTTAAAGATGAAAGGTCAGCACCTTTTTGGACTGATCACCTGAGGAACTTGCCCAGGCACCAATATAGGATTTTAGGGATGGCAGAGCCCTTGGAGATTATCTAGTTCAACTGCCTTAGTTTAAGAGTTGCAGAAACTGAAACACAGACTTTCCTAACATCACACAGATATTAAGTAGCAGAATTAGGTTTCAAATATGGGTCTTTTATTTCTAAATCCAATTAATCTCTCCAATTGGGCATACTGCTTTATGGGGAATACAGATCATAGACTTAAAGGATCATGGATTTAGAGTTGGGAGAGACCTTTCAAGTCATTTGGTCCATCTCCCACCCCTCCACCCCTTTTTAAAGATGAGGAAACAGGCCCAGATTGGTTAAGAGACTTTGCCCAAGGCTACACGAAGTAAGCAGCAGAGACAGAATTTGAACCTAGATCTTTCATCTCCAAATTCAGTGAACTGTACTATCCAGAGCTGTACTTCCATCACCTGAGACAGGCACTAGAAAAATCTTCTCCCTTGGTTACACTGAAGCAGGTAAACTCACCCAGGCATATTCAAGGCCAACTTGAATCAAAGAAACTTACAGAGATTTTAAAAACTTACTCCAAATTTCTTAAAACTCTTAAGTTACAATATTTGAAGACAACGATTAAGTCTTTCCCTTCTTTTTTTTTTTCTTTACTGGCTTACTGCAATACAATAGGATAGGGATCAGCTGGTTTGTTTGGAGGCTTAAAACCACCAGTGACCTCCTGTTCAGCTGTCAGTAATGTGCTAAGTAATTTTTTTGTCTTTTTGCTGGGCTAGGAAAATATTTGCCCTTATTCACACCCTTAATTGCTATTTTCATGCTATTAATGTTTTTGGTGCGTTAACCTTTATTATAATTAAGCCTGTATTTTGACCAGACATGCTGGGACACATCCATTTGTAACATTACTTAGTGGGGGCCGAGAAAGGCCAAGGCTGTTCTGTTTAATTTATGCTGATGGAGCACTAAGTCACCTCCTGGGCTGCCCTCAGCACAGCCTCTAAGTTCTCTAAGAGGCCGGAGAAGTTCCTACTCCTCCCTGGAGGAGACCTGGGAGTCAAAGGAATTTGGCTCTGCCTCAGATCTTTGGATTCCAAGAAGGGTCATAGAATTTAAAACCAAAAATGGCCTAAACCATCATGTATTTCACCCCTTCATTTTACCAATTAGGAAAAGGAGGCCAGGGAGAGGAAGTGGCTTGAGAGCGGTAGGCAGTAGAA